CCGCCACTACCACTGCGGCCACCTCCGCCGCCGCTGCTCTCCCGGGAGGGAGGGCGGATGTACGGGGCGGCTGGGCCCCAGCCGCGAAGCGCCTCGGCGCCTGTGGTCCGCTCGCTGCAGCGGCCGCCACCGCCAACAACGTGGTCAGTAGAGAGGGGGCTGAGGGCGAGGAGCAGCCCCTCCGGCTCCCCGCCGTGACCAAGGGGGTCCTGGGCGGGAGGCACGGGAAGGGTTGGATGGGGAGACACGTGCCCAGGGAGGCGGCTTGTATTGTAAGGTATGGGGCGGAGGAGGCTAGGCCGGCTCTCAGCCCCTTTCTCAGGCTGGAGTGGTGCAAGCGCACGCTGCGGTCACGGGCACGACTTCAGAGAGGGTAGTGCTCCTCATAACCAGGCCCCTCGATGAAGCGATTCGCCTTCCGATAGCGTCTTTAAATTGACGTGCATATTTGGGATACCTCCTGACTGTGGTGGTCAGAGTGGTGGAAGATGTAGGCGAATTTAAAGAGGAAGAGACTAATCTCTGTTTATGGTGGGTGATTTGCCACTAGTCGTTGTGGCGCTGACAAGTCATTTAAAAGTGTGCTTCACATTTCATCTTTAAAGGGTTTTGTGTAGGGAGAAATGCAGGTTTTGAACTTAAGTTTAATTCAAGCAAAGGTAATTCTGTGTGCCTGCCCCAGGTCTCTTGCTAGGCTGGAAGTGTATGTTCTATGTGGTTTACATGTGACTAGGCCAGGGTTTGATACTTTGTTTTTAAAATGGATGTTGGGGCACTGATATTTTTAAGGCCTTATTTTTCCTCCCCTAGGGTGTCTTTTATGAATAATCAAAAGCAGCAAAAGCCAACGCTATCAGGCCAGCGTTTTAAAACCAGAAAAAGAGGTAAATATTTATATTTTAATAATATCTCTCTTCAGACCTCCAAAGTAACTTTTATGTCTTGGTTCCTCTGGCAAGCTATTGCTTAGCATTAAAACCTAAAGAGAAAGTACCGAAAGGAACTGGAATTTCTAGTTGACTGCCATTTCAGATATACCCTTAATATTTCTACTACCTTTAAGACTTGGTATCAACATATGTGTATCTAAGCAGGCTAGTGAATGATGTTTTTGTTGTGCAGATAAAGTGCCTCTAAAAAAGAGCAAGTATGGGCTGCATTTTCACTCGCTAAATTTCATTTAAGGAAACTTGCTTGAGGGAAAAGGTTAATTTATAAAAGGAGAGCTCCTAACGTGACTACTAGTTTCACCCAAACTTTGTGAACATTTGTGGGAGAAAAATCAGACTTTAACCCATGGAAGTTAATTATGGAACAGAGTTCACATTGCAGTGTCTTTTGAAACTATTCCCTCACAAACTTAGTGAGAAAACTACGAGAATTATATTAACTACTTCTGTGTATTATCAGGTACTTCAATGAATATTGGATTCTGTAGCAAGGCAGTGCACTAGTGACACACAGTTAAATGAGATGTGGTCTCAGATATATTTTGTATTGGGTTTAATATTTTACCCCTACACTTTTCAGTGTTGTTGCTCAAAAGCACATATTGACCTTATTTTACAGGAAACTTTTAGGAAGTAGAGAACTGGATAGGCTACTCGTTATAAATTGTGTTTTTCTATCCTGAGTGGCAGACACTTTGAAATATATATTACAGAATCTTTTATGATTTTTGATTGTAGCCTGCCCCCTTACAGCAGGGAGACCAAGGCGTAATTGGATTCTAGTCTTTGCAGATTCATTTAGATTTAAGCCAGTAAATTTTCTCAAGAGGAGGCATAGAAGTTGGGAAGAGCAATTCTGCAGTAATGGAAAACTCTGTATCCTCAAGTTATGTGGATTACTGATACCGCCTTTGTGTAAATATAGTATCAAGTGGTTTTATTATTGTTGTTAGTGCCAGGAAGAGATGTCACTTCCCCAGTTCCAGATTGCGATCACTCATGGCCTCCTAGTTCTTGATGATTGGGTCCTGGGTATGGTGAACAACCATCCCAATTTGCCTGGACTGAATAGAGTTCCCAGAACACAGATCCTTTCAGTGCTTAAAAACAAGAAAAGTCCTAGGCAAACGAAGAGTTGGTCACCCTAGTGCTGTGTAGAAATTAAGATATCATCTAACCTAGATAGGGAAATCAAACCCTACCCTGGAGTGTGTGATAGCAGCACAGTAAAGGCTAGGTATGTACCCAAGGCACTTTTTAGAGTGCTTTATATTTTATTTATGTCATTTAATATTCACAACAACTTTATGAGGTAGGTCCTACTCTTAATCAGCATTTTACCATAGGGAGATTCAAACATGAAGAATGGGGCCAGTTGCTCAAATTCAGACAGTTCAGCGGTGATCTCAGTTTAAATCAGGCAGTTTGAATCCAGAGCCCTTACTCATATCTGCTACATGACATGTATTGGATACTCAGTAAATGTACTTTCTAAAGATTACCTTAATAAGTATTAAATGAGTGTTTTGTTTTTTTTTTAAGTAGAAAGTGTTATGGGCACTTTTAAAGAAAATCAAGAGCTCCCTTTCATTCAGGAATGAAGTTTACCTGAGGTATAGAAGATATCCTAAATTTCAGAAAAGCTCAGAGGCAATGGAAGAGCATTTCAGGTGGAAATTATAACCTGGCAGTAGGAACACACCAGCTCATTTAGCTCACTTAGGAGACTTGTGTGAAAAAATAGTGGGAGAAAAGCACACACTTTTTTTTTTTTTTTTTTTTTTTTTTTTTTGTGGTACTTGGGCCTCTCACTGTTGTGGCCTCTCCCACTGCGGAGCACAGGCTCCGGACGCGCAGGCCCAGCAGCCATGGCTCACGGGCCCAGCCGCTCCGCAGCACGTGGGATCCTCCCGGACCACTGCACAAACCCGCGTCCCCTGCATCGGCAGGCGGACTCCCAACCACTGCACCACCAGGGAAGCCCCACACTTCTTATGATAGGCAGTCCTGCCTTGCACTTGTAGAGGTGCAACTTGCAAAGCACATGTGTTTAGTCTCCTGTTGTGTTTGCTTGTGTTGCAGGTCTTGGGTAATCTAGGTAGTGTTTGTTTTTTCCAGCTATTGAAATAAATGAAATTGTGATGAATGTGGTTAACTTATTCAGTAGTTATAGCTTCATAAGGTTGCGGTTTAAAACTGAATGTTTTGGGGTTTTCCCCCAGATGAAAAAGAGAGGTTTGACCCTACTCAGTTTCAAGACTGCATTATTCAAGGCTTAACTGAAACTGGTACTGATTTGGAAGCAGTAGCAAAGTTTCTTGATGCTTCTGGAGCAAAACTTGATTACCGCCGATATGCAGAAACACTCTTTGACATTCTGGTGGCCGGTGGAATGCTGGGTAAGTGTCTGGGTCTCGTGGGAAGTGTGTTATATGGGGATTATGTAGAATCCAGAACATAAACTATTTGACAAACCTATCAAATCAGGGTGGCTTTTTTTTTTTTTACCCCCTTAGGATTTTCCCATTTTTTTTCTTCTCAAATTATAGTAAATTTGTCAATTGCCTTGCTCTGGCTAGCTTTATATTTGAAATCCATTACAGAACCATAACATTTGGGGAAGACTTGTCTGACATATAAGTCCCAACAGTATCTTCCATCAGTGATTTTTCCAACTTGTGTTTGCACACTCTCAGTTAATGAAGAAATCCCTATCTCTTGTTTTGTCTTACCAAATACTTTATAAATTTAACGCTCGTATCCAAGGGTTCCACATCGATGGATTCAGCCAACTGTGGATCAAAAATATTCCCTGGTGTGGTGGTGGGGGATTGTCCAGAATGTTCCAAAAAGCAAAACTTGCATTTCCCATACTCCAGTAACTATGTAGCATTTACATTGTATTCTGTTTTATAAGTAACCTAGAGACTGTTTAAAGTATACATAAGGATATGTGATGGTCATATGTAAATACTATGCCCTTTCATATAAGGGACTTGAGCATCTGCAGATTCTGGTATCCACGACGGTCCTGGAACCAATTCAGGACAACTCTGTACCTGAAGACTCTAATCCTGCACTCTTCTATGTATTAGCCACTAGCCACTTGTGGTTATCAATCACTTAGAATGTGGCTAGTACAAATTCAGAGGTACTGAAAATGTAAAATACACATTGGATTTTAAAGACAATGCTAAAAAGAATGTAAGATATCTCTAATATTTTGAATACTGAAATGTTAAAATCAATATTTTTGATGTGTTGGGTTAAAGCATATCAAAATAATTTCACCTTTTTTTTTTAAACTTATTTATTTATTTTTGGCTGCATTGGGTCTTCATTGCTGTGCACGGGCTTTCTCTAGAGTTGCGGCGAGCAGGGGCTCCTCTTCGTTGTGGTCTGCAGGCTTCTTACTGCGGTGGCTTCTCGTTGCAGAGCACGGGCTCTAGGCACGTGGGCTTCAGTAGTTGTGACTCAGGGGCTCAGTAGTTGTGGCTTGCGGGCTCTAGAGTGCAGGCTCAGTAGTTGTGGCACGTGGGCTTAGTTGGTCCGTGGCATGTGGGATCTTCCCGGCCAAGGGCTTGAACCTATGTCCCCTGCATTGGCAGGCGGATTCTTAACCACTGCGCCACCAGGGAAGCCCCTCACCTTTTATTTTTAATATGGCTACTAGAAGATTCAAAGTTACATTATGTGCTCACATTATATTTCTACCCATAGCCCTGCTGATTTACTCCTGCCTCCACCCTCAACAAGCTCAGACTATCTTAATAGAATGTGCTATACTTAGTTATATATTTTCAAAGGATACTGGTAATTTCATTTCCATGGCTCTTTAAAGTATTCTAAAACGTTTTCACAGTAACAGTGTATTGAACCTCAGCCAAGCTGATAGAATCAGAACTCTTATTTGTATACATGCAGGATGGAGGCTTAGAGAGGCTTCAGTAGCTTGCATGCGATCAAACAGTTGCTCAGTGGTGGAACGGGAACTTAAATGTTCATATGTTCTAATGCCTAGTCAGATGAGTATCTCTTTTACTGTAGTATCATTTGTAGTAAGAAATGGGAAACACACCTATTTTCTATTCATAATACTGCTATCAGTAAGCTGCTTTTTAAAGGTTCGTTTTTAATAAGATTTTCAAACATATCCTGGAGAGAATAGTGTAATAATCTAAGGATCTGCTGTCCAACTTCAGCAATTTTTAACGATCTTACCGACTTCATCTCCCCTCCCCTGTATTTTATTTTATTTTTTAACATCTTTATTGGGGTATAATTGCTTTACAATGGTGTCCCTGTATTTTAAAGTGTACGTTAGACATCATTTTATCCATAAATACTTACAAATGTATCTAAAAGATAAAGTCTCTAACTTGCAGGTTTTTATAGCCCAGCCTCTTTGGAAGTTTATGAAAGGTTTTCTGTATGGAAAGTCAGAACCAACTCTGAACATCTCCACTTGAGTGACAGATTTGGCACTGCTGAATTAATGCAGTGAGTGAGTTTCATTGGGTTGCTGAAGAGGGTTATTTTATTTATTCCAGTAAATTGTTTTCACTTTGTTCACACGTATTGAACCAACCAGCCATGTTCCTACTGAGAAATTGACTTTGCTTTCAAATCATCTCAGAATTTTTATCAGTTTATTTTATAATTTCCTTACAGAAAATAAGATTGACTAGTATATACAGATGTTGAACTATAATGTACACCTGAAACATAAAAATGAAAAGTTAAGTTAAAGTTTAAAAGAAAGTAAGATTGAAATAATTACTAATTTTAAATGAAGATCATTGCAAATTTTTTGTAAAATATACCTTAGCCCCAGGTGGTACACTGGCAGATGACATGATGCGTACAGATGTCTGTGTGTTCGCAGCACAAGAAGACCTAGAGACCATGCAAGCATTTGCTCAGGTAAATTAAACTTAACATAATTATTTCAGTTAACTGTTATCCACCTAACTAATGTTTAAGGAATATTCTGCTTTTAAGAGATTGCTGGTAGCAGGTTGAAGGAATCTGAGCTGAAGGTTTAGCGGTGTTCTGGGTGTGCAGTATGATGGTTTAGGAACTTAAAAATGTGCTGAGGAAAACAAAATAGAAAAAAATTGAATCAGCTCTCCTTTTCCTGTTTGTCCCTCTAAAATTAATCCATTTTTTAGGGAAAAAATTCAAGCTGAAAAAGGAAAATCAGTTCCCTGTCGTGATTTTCATCACTAAATTATTCTGCATATAGCTTTTTAAAGGTGAATGAGTTATAGGCAGATTAGCTTCTTTACCAGTCAGAAGCTCATTTGAAAGTTGCATACATAGTTATGCTTGTGTTACTGTAAGCAAAGAATTAAAATGCATCTAACCTAGGGATTGTTGTCTATGTCATTAGGAAAGTAGAACTATATTTTATGATCCTATTCTGTTAATATCCTACAAATGGGTAAATGACTTGTATTTGAGCAATAATTAGTCCATGCTTTGATATTTGGCAATAAAATCTATTTCAGGGTGGCGGTTAAAGTGTTAACAGTATTGGTATATTGTAGGATTTGGGAATTGACAGACTTACCTAGCTGGTTTAAACATCTGATGAAAGGTTCACTTCTTTGCTATTCTGGAGATACTGTGGAGAGGTCTTAGTTGCCCTGACTTAGATCTTTTGGGAATCTGACATTTTTATGTATGAGGTTATCATTCAGTTCCTTTACTATTCTTACAGGTTTTTAACAAGTTAATCAGGCGCTACAAATACCTGGAGAAGGGTTTTGAAGATGAAGTTAAAAAGGTATGAGCAGCAATATGCTTTGTGGAAAACAAAAGGTTGGGGTCAAAGAAGGGAATGTTAAATCCTAATTCTGCCACGGATTTGAGATAACTTTAGATATTTAGGTAGGCTGTCTTTGAAATGAAGTTTGGGGGTATATCATTTTGTAATTTGCTGTACACTGTTTCTTAGCTCTATATCCAAACAAGTGGCAGAGGGGTTAAAATCCAAGTGGGGTTTGTTTAGAAGACAGAGTAGCAGATCAGAGCTAAACACATTGACAAAGAGAAATTTAACATACTTGCTCACTGAGTCTTAGATATTCTACATATAAGTGCACAGAAAATTTGGTAAGGTTAATAGTATCATTTAATGAATATGAGACACTGTCTTAATTATTAACTCATTTAATATTCTCAAAAGCCCTGTGAAACAAGTTTTATTATCCACATTCACATATGAGAAGACTGAGACAGAGGTTAAGTATCTTGCCCAAGGTCACTCAGCTAGTGAGTATTGTAACCAAGATATAAACTTGGATGGTTAGGCCCCACAGCCCACAATTTTAACCAATATAATATGCTTTACTGCTTCTATTTATATAATGCATTTGCTCTTTTAACCGGTAACTATTTACTTTTATAGCTGCTGCTGTTCTTAAAGGGTTTTTCAGAGTCGGAGAGGAACAAGCTGGCTATGTTGACTGGTGTTCTTCTGGCTAATGGAACACTTAACGCATCCATTCTTAATAGCCTTTATAATGAGAATTTGGTTAAAGAAGGTAATCAACCTTTAGTAAAGGATGGCTGAGGGTGGAGTAGATAAGAGCCAGAGAGATGAACTGATATGAAAGTTAAGATATAGTTTTTGTAGATTTGACTTGTGTGATAGTCTTAGTTTTTTTAACTAGTATCCTTAAATTTAATTGGTTCATTTCAGCTCATTACTTATTTACTGTATACCTTTGGCATTTAGGCTTAACAGCTGTCTATAGACATACAGCAAATATCCAGGGTCTAGACAAAATGTGATTGATTGTAAAGTAAAAATAGAAATGCTGTGGAAACCCAGAGAGAGCTTAATCCCAACTGGGAAACTTGGGAACATCTTGAATAGAGAAAATGGGGAAAATGGCAAGCTGAAAAAGAAAATAAGTTCCCTTTTGTGATTTCCATAGTTAAATTATTCTGTACAGTAATTTAAAAGCTAACTTTTTTTTTATTGCTTAGAGTACTGAGTTATTTGACATGCCTTATTTTTATTCTCACAACAACCCTGTGAAGTGTTAAGAATTGTTACTCTCATTTTACACATCAGTAAACAGTTTAACTTGACTAACAGTACCCAACTAGCAAATGGTAGAGTAGAGAAATTGGAGTAGAGTGGTAAGCAGTGGCAGAGGAAAGTTCATGGGTAAGCTTGGGGATAAAGTGAATAATCCTGTGTGGTGGAACCTCAGAGGGAGGAAATGGGAGATAGTCATTGAAATCCAGGAAGGTACTTCTGTTAAGTAAGCTCTGTTTTTCTACAGGGGTTTCAGCAGCTTTTGCTGTAAAGCTCTTTAAATCATGGATAAATGAAAAAGATATCAATGCAGTAGCTGCAAGTCTTCGGAAAGTGAGCATGGATAACAGACTGATGGTTTGTAACTTTTCATTCTTCACAGTCTTGAAAGCTTAATAGGCAACTTTCCCATTTTTAATCTGTGAAAAGAGGAAAAGTGTTTTTCTTAGTCTGACTTGAAGACCATTTAACCAGATTAAATTCTCCTTTCAGGAACTTTTTCCTGCCAATAAACAAAGCGTTGAACACTTCACAAAGTATTTTACTGAGGCAGGCTTGAAAGAGCTTTCAGAGTATGTTCGGAATCAGCAAACCATAGGAGCTCGTAAGGAACTCCAGAAAGAACTTCAAGAACAGATGTCCCGTGGTGATCCATTTAAGGATGTGAGATATTCTTATTTAAACTATCTTTATATGGCCAAGTTTCTGGCTAAGAAAATTTTTACTCATTTCAGAAACTTTAAAGTATTTCACCAGTGAGTTTTAATAATAGCTGTAGAATGTTATGCTGGGGCTTTGCCTCAATCTTTTTCATATTCATTGCCTTATGGGTACCCAGAAATCATAACACTTGGCGATTTTTGTAAGGTGCAAGCCAATAGACAGACCTTCTGTTTCCATCTTGGTCTTTTCCTAGGTAGTTTGCCTATGTGTAATACAGGGTTTGAACTAGAAGTCCATACCTTCTTGTTCTAAAAGTTCTATGATTATATATGGTCTCCTGGTCATTGCTAGTGGCATGGAAAGGTGTTTATGCTTTGTGAAAGGCCTAAGTTTCATGTGTGTAGTATCTACATATCAAACTTATTTCTGTACTAAACTTGGATTCTTTTGCAGATAATTTTGTATGTCAAGGAGGAGATGAAAAAAAACAACATCCCAGAACCAGTTGTCATTGGAATAATATGGTCCAGTGTAATGAGCACTGTGGAATGGAACAAAAAAGAGGAGCTTGTAGCAGAGCAAGCCATCAAGCACTTGAAGGTATTAGAACTGTGCCTTGGTAAAACATTATTCTTGTAAGTGGGGGTAAGTGAACTGTCAGTGTACTATTCTAAAAGGACTTATCACATCCTGTGCTTCCTGGGGATAAACCACCAGTAAGTAGACAAATAACATATTAACTATTGATGATAACCTTTTAAAAAGTCTGATTTGGGCTTTCTTTGGCTCACAGGTTAAAAACAAATACATGTTTAAAAGTAGATTGAACCTGTAATTTGGTCTTTGCTTTTGAGAGAATATTGGAAAATAGGAGGATTCTTTTTTTCCCTTTAAAATATTAACATTGTATTCACAATTATCTGGAATCCTTGATGTAGTATTGCTTTTTTGATTTAAATGCTTAATTTTTCTGCTTTACTCTTTTTTTTTAACTTCCACTAAACAGAATATAATTCACAGTGATTATAAAAGATGAGTTATGTCTTAGGAATTTATAATAGATGGCCATTGTACTAAATGACTAAATCTTTTCTCCCTTCCCTTTAAAAGCAATACAGCCCTCTACTTGCTGCCTTTACAACTCAAGGTCAGTCTGAGCTGACTCTGTTACTGAAGATTCAGGAGTATTGCTATGACAACATTCATTTCATGAAAGCCTTCCAGAAAATAGTGGTGCTTTTTTATAAAGGTAATTTAAATTTTGAATTTTGTGAATACATTTGACAAATATCCTAGGAAACTCAAAATAATCCTAATGAGTAGTTCTCTGAACGTCAGCACCCTAAAGTATTTTACTCTAATCACAGGACTGAGTTGTCTCTGATTTAATTAGTTACTTTTGAGTGCATTATCTTTAAAACATCTCTAAAGCTTATTAACAAGTTAAAATCTAAAGCCTTCTTGATGAGGCCTCAAACTTTGCCTCCTATATTCCCCCAGTCCTCTTCCCCAGACAGATGATTTTGTTGGTTCCCATATTTTAAACTTAGAGGTCTACCTGCATCCCTGCATCCCCAGGTTTTGTTTTGTTTTGTTTTTTGAAGGATAGGGTAATGAACTCCAAGTACCCTGTGCTTCAGTGATTATCAACTTGTGGTTAGGTTTCTTTAAAGTATCTATACCTCCACTTCCTCCACTCAGATTGTTTAGAAATAAATCTTAGAAATCTTCATTTAATTCTGGAAAAGTTAGTAATTAACTTTTAATTTTATCTATAAAACACATGGACTTTTAAAACTCACAGTACCATTTTCACACCTAAAAAATAATAATAATAAAGAATTATCTATCAAATATGCCTGATCATTTATCACAGGATTTCTCAACCTTGGTACTACTATTTTGGGCCAGATAACTATTTTGTAGGTGACTGTCCTAGGCACTGTAGAGTGTTTAACAGCATCCCTGGCATCAGCCCAATAGTTGCCAGTAGCACCTCTCCCCAGAGTAACAACCAGAATGTCTAAACATTGTCCGATGTCCCCAAGGGATAAAACTGCCTTCAGTTGAAAGAATCACTGGTTTAATAAGGTTGATTTCCTGTTTGTAGGTTCATACATTGGCCACAAGTTGATAAAAAGTTTCTTAATGTAGTGTTCTCATTTCATCTTTTCTACTTTAAATTTTAATTCATTGAAGGAACCAGTTAAGAGAGTTCTGAATACAGATTTATTTTGTAAGCAACCAAAATATTTGCTTTTCAGTGAGATTTTTTTTGCCATGAAGGCGTTTGCACCTTAGGGCAGGGGGTCCCCAAACCCCGAGCCGCGGGCCGCTACCGGTCTGCGGCCCATCAGGAGCTGGGCCGCACAGCAGGAGGTGAGCAGCGGGCGAGCGAGTGAAGCTTCATCTGCCACCCCCGTCGCTCGCGTGACCACCTGAGCCATATCTCCCACCCCCACCCCCCATGGAAAAATCTGTCTTCCACGAAACCGGTCCCTGGTGCCAGAAAGGTTGAGGACCGCTGCCTTAGGGGGTTTCTAACTCTGCCTTAGTTAGAGAAGTACTGTATGAAAACTCCACAAATGTAAAGGTTGCTCTCTTTATAGCTGAAGTTCTGAGTGAAGAACCCATTCTGAAGTGGTATAAAGATGCACATGTTGCCAAGGGGAAAAGTGTCTTCCTTGAGCAAATGAAAAAGTTTGTAGAGTGGCTCAAAAATGCTGAAGAAGGTAAGTCTTTTCATTTGAGCAGGTTTTTTTTTTTTTTTTGGTAAAGCCTGAGAACTTATTTTAATGTGGCCAAGAGTATGTCCATACATGTTGCCTTCTTTCATTCAGGTACCATTTTGTACATGAGTACAGATTTTTGTTCATTTATGACAGACCTGCAAAAACTTACTACTTTAAAGTAGGTGAGGAAAACTAGACCAGGTATTTTGATGGCTTGGCCATAATACTATCATTCTTAGGAAATTAGAAAATTTTGAGAATAGTTAATATTTATGAATTTTGAGGTTTACAAATGAATGCATTTAATATTCCCCTCATATGAGTAGAGCATTATTAATAAAATTCCTTAAATAAAGTTATAAACACAAGTTTTGCTTTCTGATACCATGTAATGCTTGACTGCACTTTTCCCCTTTTCTAGAATCTGAGTCTGAAGCTGAAGAAGGTGACTGAATTTGAAACTACACCCTCAGTAAAGCAAACAGGAATTGTAGATAAAATGTCATGTCTCATGTGTCCTGGTTCTTACATCTTCCTACCTCCCTATATCAAGCATGATATAAGGGCTTTCATGGCAAATTTTATTTTAACTGTTTCTATGGTTACTGGAAATGTTGGATTTAGTTTCTAAAACCATGTTTTAAGTAGCTACAGGAGCTATAGATTTGAATCTAATGTTGCATTAGTCTTTTCAGTTATCTTCTACCTCCTGTATTTTCTACTGTAATAATGTAATTTAAGGCCTTCCACAATGAACAGTTCACTTTTTCCCTGGGTTTTCTATATAAACAGTTTTCAAGATATGATTTGGTTAAAAATAATTTGTTATAAAAATTCTGTTTGCGAATTAAACTGTAAAAGTATCCAGAGTCTCAGAAGGCAGTGATTTGTGTGATAATTTGGTATGCCCAAAGCCCTGCTCATCAATGAAAATCTCATATACAATAATTAGATTCATTAACATGAATCTTGAGTATTTGGACCACTGCTTGCATGTTGATATTTTCTTGCATTTTTAACCCCAGATATACTTGAGCTCAATTGTTTGCTCTCTGATTTTCATTCCTTAAAATGAAGCCATGGAGAACAAACTTGAAAGTGAGGTGTTTGGGAAATTGTATGTGGCAGTGGTGGGAAGAAGAAAGTTGAGCTTTTACCCATTGAGAAACCTCTGCATTCAGTTTGCTTCTTTCTAGACAAAACAAATGAATATTCTTTTCATACCGCCATTTTCAAATATACCTTGGAAAAGCCTTGTCATTTAAAGTATTTTACAGTTGTCATACACTTAGTTTGGTAAGAAAGGACTCATAAAACAGTATAAGTAAAGCAAATGACTGTACTAAACCCAGAAAATTGTTGAAAGAAAAGTGGTTAGCATGTTCTAATTGGGATTCTAAATATAACTCACATTTCCTATTGGCTTGGAGTATTTGTTGCAAAGAATGAAGTGCAGTGATAATGATTATCCTACTTGGTCATACTGTGCCAGCTTCATTCTCTTCACAGATTCATGTATGACTCAAGCATCTGCCTATTAATTTACCCCAGTTGCCAATATTTTAAATTGCCATGAGCCAAATATCTCTTCTGTACAGTTGATCCATTTATTTTAATGGCTGCCTTTTAATTTCCATCTTAATTTTCTTGCTGCTACCCATCTTTATATGTAGTCATTAGAAAACAAAATGTGGCCACACTTTTTGGTGGAAAGATTTCATGTTAAAAGTGAACATTTTGAAAGCTTTTTTGATTGGTGAAAGAAGTGAGCTTGGAATAATGCCGCCAGAGACTGAGTGGGAATTGTCCCTTTCAGAGGTGCCATTCTTAGGAGCTAAAAATTAGGTGTTTAAAAGTTTATCTTGAGGGAATAACATGTAATATAGTTTGAAATAAAGGTATAATAATCTTATGAAGAAGAGCATTATAACTGATACCATTGTGAAGGGGGTGAAATTGTTAAATAAATGACTTTGATAAAGCTTTCATGTGCAGACAAAATGTATTCACTAGGTTTCTACATAGTGATCTGCTTTTACTTTGTAATTTGTAGTCCTTAAAAAGACTTTTTTTGAAAAATAAAGTCCATCCTTACACTTAGGTTTATATAGGTTAATCTTTTTTAATTTTTAATTTTTTTGTAATTTCCATGTTAATGCCTACTGGTAACTGTATGTTATGCATTCAGACATCTCTACTATGTAAGCATTAAATAACTGCTCTTTTCATCCTTATGACCCCCAAACTGTAAACACCTACACAGAATTCTGATGTAGCAGAAACTACATTAACGTTTCTACAACCAAATCATTGCATGTTACTGCAGTACAGAGTGCACCTTACTATATACTGTGTATAGTGAAAATGTATAGTCTTCCAGAACTACATTATGATCTCTGATCACAGTTTTTTCCTTCATGGCAAAGTAGTGTTTACTTACTACAATATTATAGTAAATGGATAAAGTCACCTGTGACAGTATAGTGTAAAGAAAGGGAATGCTTTCTAAAAAGACTTTGCAGATTTTCATTTTGAATTTTAAGTGGCAATTTTGAATTTCAGCTGCCAGTGCCAACCTCAAACCTGTAATTCTTAATATAGTTGTTAAGATTGTACTTGTAATTATGATCAGATAAATGTTAATTGATTTTCCTAACTTGGTGTCAGTTTCTAAGAATAAGTCTCCTCTTAGATGCCATAATTAAATGTGTTTAGAACTGATGATAAATTTCTTAATCTTAATTATTCTGGGAGTATTGCCGTAGAGACATGTTCTTATGAAAATTCCAAATACCAAAAATGCCACAGGGTATTTTGACATAGCATAGTGATGGTGGGAAGAAGAAATGCCTGTGACAGAGGTTGACTTCTAATTCAGTGTTTCTTAAAGTTTTTTTCATCAACCCCAGGCCCAAAGCCTTTTAAACTTTTTTTTTTTTTTTAATAGTGCCCCAGTGAATTTTTTTGGCCATGCCACACAGCTTGTGGGATCTCGGTTCCCCAACCAGGGATTGAACCCCAGCCCTTGGCAGTGAAAGCGTGGAGTCCTAACCACTGGACAGCCAGGGAATTACCCCCAATGAATTTTAATATCATAGATCTGCTGCATATATATTATATCTGCTTTATACATGAAAAGAGTAAGGGGTTTTTTTGGTCCTACTTGGGGGTGACCCCACCCCCGTTTGAGAATGCGGTTCCTAATATATCTTTTTTAAAAGGGGGGGGGACCTAGTGATGGACATTTGCCTTGGCGGATGTATCTTTATGTGTGTCCAAATCTTGAAGCAGTATTTTTTTCTGCCAGGGTCACTAGAAAATAGAAGAACTTTGTTTTCTGCCAGTCACCATCTTATAATAGCTGTGCTTTATACCCTTCCCACCATAGGCATCAGACAGATCATTTCCCATTGGCTTTGGAGGTCTTGCCAGATTCTTACTTGACTTATAAATGTATCATAAATAGAATCATACAGGTTCCTTCTCATCTATAAAAATCAGTTAAAATCCTAGGTGAATGATTGATTTAATTAAAGTTGTTCATTATAACACATTGATAAATGGCATTGAAATTTTACTGATGAGTTGACAGTCATATTCAAGTAGGCTGCTTGCAGGAACTGACAGAACTATTGGTTGATTTAAAATGTAACATAGGGGCTTCTCTGGTGGCGCAGCGGTTGAGAATCTGCCTGCTAATGCAGGGGACATGGGTTAGAGCCCTGGTCTGGGAAGATCCCACATGCCGCGGAGCAACTAGGCCCATGAGCCACAACTACTGAGCCTGCAGGTCTGGAGCCTGTGCTCCACAAGAGAGGCTGCGATAGTGAGAGGCCCGCGTACCGCGATGAAGAGTGGTCCCTGCTTGCCACAACTAGAGAAAGCCCTCGCACAGAAACGAAGACCCAACACAGCAAAAATAAAAATAAATAAATAAAATGTAACAGATGCCAAAGTTCTAGTGTACATTATTACCTAGGCTACTGAATTATCTTTGTAAAACTTTCCTCAGATGCTATTTACAGGTGCCATGTAAAATAGGCTAATGTGCATTTCTATGAGAATTCTGGTAAACTGCCTTGCTATGATTTTTCATGTAAAGTATTAGTCCTCTAGTACTGATACAGGGTATGTCGATTCACCAGCCTACTAAAACCTAGTGGTTTGAAATATTATTGAGAAATAAGTTTTTAAGAAGACTTTATTTAAGTGGGATCTAGAAGATGTGATAAGTACTTTTGACTTTGAAATAATGAATTTATAATTGGCCTCTGTCTAAAAACTTGAATTGCAGTGGATTTGTACCTAAACACAATCTTATGCATAATTGTATGAAATTTGGTATGGACCAGAAAGGCTTCCAAATTCCCTTTCCCTTCCCCACTTTTTTTCCTTCTGTTTTAACTATGGGCTGTTAGCAGCCATATCAAATCCAATCATTTTAATTTTCCAATGCACCTACAATCTTTTTATCCTTATTCTAAGATTATCATTTCACCTCTTAATGAATTGAAAAAATGGTGAGGATACTTTACAAATTCAGTCTATCAATCACTGTCAATTTAGTAACTCTGGGCTCCCCTGGTGGCGCAGTGGTTGAGAGTCCGCCTGCCGATGCAGGGGACACGGGCTCGTGCCCCGGTCCGGGAAGATCCCTCATGCCGCGGAGCGGCTGGGCCCGTGAGCCATGGCCGCTGAGCCTGCGTGTCCGGAGCCTATGCTCCGCAACGGGAGAGGCCACAACAGTGAGAGGCCCGTGTACCGCAAAATAAATTAAAAAAAAAAAAAATTTAGTAACTCTTAATAACCTTAGTTAAAGTAAAAGCTCAACTGCTTGTGCCTAATACAGTGCCGCAGAGGAGATGTGGCAACAAATCTGCTCAGTCCTTTGCTTTGTAGACTTTACCTAGAGGGACCAATATCTTACTAAACTATGATATTAGAATGGTTATGGTTGTATTACTGCAGGTCTGGGAACTATGCATTAAATGTGTGTAATGAATTTGGGGTGCTACAAAGTTATCAAATATAACAGCTGTTTCAGGGAATTTCCAGTCAGTAACCATTTTAAAATCGGATGAAAATAGTTTAAACCATTTTTTTAAGCTTGAAATCCTGAAGGCTGTGCTTCAAGTTGACTTAGAGGTAAACCTATTGGGGAAATAAGTGACCCACTTACAGACTGAAGCCCCTATTACTTCAGAAAGATGTTCTACATTTTCTGGCATCCTGAGAATAAAATATTATGTCTGTAAGTACACCTCATTTCCATTCTAGTTAGGACTAATGGATCCTCATGTGGCAAAAAGCTGAAGAATGGAGAAAACTGGGTAGCCGATAATCCAGATAGTTCTTGGCACTCTGAACAACCTCAAGTACAGCCATCCAAGCCAGTAATTATATTGCTGCGTTATTTCTTTGTGAAATTTGCTTCTTGTCTGTACCCTTGAAATTGAATAAAATTTCATGAGACTCCTTATTAGTGTAAAGAGAAAAGCAGTGACTTGCACTGGTTGT